TGGTGCATAAGGCGTCGCACAGGTCCAGTGAAGGGCCGCACCCCAAGGGGTGTGATGCGGACAACCTACCTTAATGCAAGCATTAGTGACTGCTTCCACGGCTCCAAACACAAATAAAACGTTCTATTGGAACTTGATAAACAAAGTTATCGCTCATATCTGCAGGAGAAATTCAACGTTAAATCAATCAGGGATAATCCCTACGAGCTTACAGCTGCTGTATACCTTCAAGTGAGCATCATCAGCCAAGCTCTTATCTTTGTGACAAGATCAAGAAGCTGGTCATTTTTGGAACGCCCGGGTTTCTTGCTTGTCACTGCTTTCCTCTTAGCCCAATTTGTAAGTCTTGAAAAAAACTAACCTGAATGAACATTTTCATTTTCACAACTCTGTATATATTCTTACTAATCAAGATCTTGTTTTTTCTGCTGGAATGATGAACTCAGGTGGCTACATTAATCGCTGTCTACGCCAACTGGAAGTTTGCTAGGATCCATGGAATTGGTTGGGGATGGGCAGGAATCATCTGGATCTACACAATTATCACCTATATCCCTCTTGATATTCTCAAATTCATCAGTCGTTACACGTTGAGTGGTGAGGCCTGGAATTCAATGATCCAAAATAAGGTAAACAAACATAGATTATTGCCATCACATTTTATAAAACCTTAGTAAAAGGTAGCCCGGTACACTAAGCTCCCGCTATGCTCAGAATCCGGGAAAAGGCTGGATAACGATGGGTCTATTGTACTCAACCTTACCCTGCATTTCTGCAAGAGAACTGTTTTCACGGCTCGAACCCTTGACCTCATGGTCACATGGCTCCCCTCGAGGCTGTTTTCGGGGCTAGAACCTTAGTACTTTTTTGAAATTCCGTTCTTGAATTAATAATACTCCACTTATTTTTGTTTCTTGAAACTATTAGACTGCTTTCACAACCAAGAAGGATTATGGAAAAGGTGAGAGGGAAGCACAATGGGCTGTGGCGCAACGAACACTACACGGTCTCCAGACTGCTGAAAGCAATGGCCTATTCCATGACAAGAACTACAGAGAATTGAATGAGATTGCTGAACAGGCTAAACGTCGCGCTGAAGTTGCAAAATATACACATGAGCCATGAAAATAACTTGATTATCTCAATAACCATGTTGCAAGATAGGGGAATATTAGACTCTCAAGGGACATGTTAAATCTATGTAGTCTAAGTTAAAGGGCATTTTTGCAGCTATTTATCAAGAATGTATCTCAATGTTGGATGAAATCCAATATTGGTGAACTACAAAGGCTAGCTGCTAATCAAAACTATTAAACTAGTAGTTATATACATAAAGAAAATTTACTATAGCATTATCATTTTTGTTTTTTTTTCTGTAAATATTTATTTATTAATGTTTTTAGTAAAGTGCCTTGTTGCTACTACTTCATAATATATTGTTACCTTTGAATAGAGATAGTAAGAAATGATGAACCGTCACTTATCATATAGAAATTAACATTGCGTTTTGTTCTCTATTAATATAGTAATGCCTAACTGAGATTATAAAAAACAATTATAGTACGAGATTTGATAGTCCTTCCGTCCCCTCCCCCCCTCCTCCCCAAAAAATAATACATTTTGAATTGCGAGAGTCAAATGAGCTGCTCTTTTTACCCTAATTTTTAGTTTTATATGCTTTTTAAATATTTGAATGTTAATTAGTGTGACTTATAATATTTTTTTATATAGTTTCTAAATATGTAAATTTTATTTCAAAAAAAATAAAATAAAAGATTTTATGTCCGAATTCATGGTTAATATTAAGAAATTTGACTTTTGAAATCTAAATTGTATCTATTCTTTTTGGGACAAAGGAAATATTATCTTATGCTTCATTTGGTTGTTTTTTTAATTTGAAGCATAAGGGCGGTATAAATTTGGGAGGATGTACAAATAAGGTTGTGGTGGAGTGATAAGTATTGCTTCGTACTTAACCAGCGGTCTCGGGTTAGAGCTCTGGGTATGAAGTCGCCTTTGTTAGGGAGCGCTTTACCCTCCCCCCCCTCCCCCCCCAATATTAGATTTTTCGGTATGAATCCAGATATAGTCGAGCCCCGATACAGGCACCACGCACCGGGTGAGAAATCAAATGTTTTTTTTGGGAGGATGTGTCTCTCTCCCCGTGTTCTTTTAAGTACGTATGCATAGTTGAATGCAATGCCACAAATCAAACCGAACCATAGTCGGATTTTTTTCTCAGTTTGACTCGGATTATTGGTTTGGTGCGGTATATCGATTTCCTTTGTACTCCCCTAGCTACCATCTTTAGTAAATCACTTATAAGGTAATTAATTACATATAAATCGGTTTTATGATAATTAGCTAGTATAAAAGGGTAACCAGATAAGATATTAATTAACCTAAGTTAAACGAACACTAGTGATAGGTGTAAAATATATTTATATTGTTGTCGCTTATAATGTAAAACTCCTAGTAATAATTAGTGATAAACTGCCAAAATGCATATTTTTCGATGTACTTTCATCTCATAACTTGTGTGGTTACGGTAGGTTACATAAGTTTTTGTAGTGAATTGTGTTCATTACGTGCATTCTTATGTGTAGGAGCAAGTTGGACTAAATGTGAGCAAAAGAAGTTGATTCGTGACCAAAATATAAAAGAAGGACTTTGCTAGTTCACTCTCGCATGCACACGAGAGAGTGAACAAGCTATTGAGGAAAAGCTTGAAAACAAAACAGCGGGGTATAGCAAAAGGGCATGGAAGTGCACGAGAGACCTGAGAGAAAAAGAAAAAGAGAAGAACTTTGCTCGTTCACTCTCGCATGCGCACGAGAAAGTGAATGAGCTAACCTAAAAAGGTTGTTTCGAAGTGGGCTTGTATTATTTCACCCCATGCTAACCCTATCCCATATAAACAGTCTTTACACTCACTTTTGTGAGAGAGGGACGTGACTTGTGAAAGAGGGGCGTGACTCTTGAAGGGGAGAATACGTTAGGAACATTCTTGGAGGAGAAAATCATCGAGTTCTTCATTCCTTCTCTTTTTATTGTAATTTATTTATGCAAAATACTTGGAAAATTATTGCTACAAACATGAGTGTATAAGCATTCTAGTTTCTAGGGTTGTGGTTGACATGATTATTAACGTTTATTAATTACATCTTTGTTAATTCGGAGTATCATCCTGTGGTTGTTTCTTTAATTCTAGTTTTAACTTGTGAATTGTTGTAGCTACCAACTAACCCTACTATCTATGATATGCTTGGGAAAGCCTTGTTTAGATTAGAGTAGAATTAAAGAGAGCTTGTTTCTCAACCCGTGGCTCGGGGAAAAATTTCGCGGTTAGGATAGGAATATACCTAATAATCTTGCTCAATTGAATACCGTATTATATTCGTTCATGATAGACTTAATATCATAGGAATATATGATTGATATATTGTGGAAAGGCGAGTAGTATTGTGGGAACATGCTATTCATATAAACGATCCAGTTAATTAACAATCATAGATAATTTGGTTTAACGAGTGTGATTAGTGAACTTGATAGGATGGATAAACCAATCACAACCCTGGAATCTTCCTCTCTTCTGAATTAAAACTCCAGCATACACGTTTGCATTCTAGATAAATTAGTTGTTACTTGTTTAATTTCTCCAATAGTAGATTAATAGAAAACCATCACTCTCGATTACGTTGGACAATTAATTGATTTTAGGTTGCTTAATTAACGATTGATCTAAGTCTCTGTGGGTTCGACATCCGACTTTTGAATCACTTTATTACTTGAAGGCCACGTATACTTGCGTGTACTTGGGGAACCAATAAGTTTTTGGCGTCGTTACCGGGGACTTAGTTATTGATTGTTTATTTAAGTTAAGCTTTTATTCGTTATTTGCTCAAGTTGTAATTTTTAGTTTGCTTTATTTGTGATAACACATGATGTTCTCTTGAATGCGGAGGAGTAGAAGCGTAAACAATCTCCTTCCTCTTGATCCTGAAATCGAACAAACACTTCACAGAGTGCGGGGGGAAGTCGAAGCTAGAACTAGAATTGAAAAAGACTTATCGTAGTTCAACCACAACCAATAAAGATGGAAGGTAATGAAGAGCGTCTGGTAATAGAAGCTGCATGGCCCAATCTTTCTAATATGACTCAGGCAATTGTGAAGCCTGAGATCACGGGTCACTTTGAACTCAAACAGTACATAGTACAACTGATTCAGTCCAGAGGGCAATATGTGGGTCTATCTCATGAAGACTCGCAAAGGCATATTCAGAACTTCCTGGAATTTACGGACACTTACAATTATCAGAACGTTTCCAAGGACTATGTCAAGCTGACACTGTTTCCCTCTTCACTGCTGGGGGAAGCTAAGGAATGGTTTCAAAAGGAGCACGCGAACTCAATCCATAATTGGGATGATCTAGAAAGGAAATTCTTAATCAAGTTTTTTTTCACTAAGAAGACAAAGTCGTTGAGGAGCCAGACTCTTGGGTTTCAATAACGAGATGGCGAGACTCTTCGTCAAGCTTGGGAAAGATACAAAAAGCTACTCAGAGACTGCCTACATTATTGTTAGACCGATGAGGTGTTGGGTCATACTTTCGTTGATGGGTTGGATGAGGCATCAAAAATGAATCTTGACTCAACATGTGGGGGTAGTTTCATGGCAAAATCGTTTAGTGAGATCCAGATCCTGCTAAACAATTTCACTTCTAATGATAATAATTGGCAAGGAGATGGGGAACCACGAAGAGCACTTAAACAAAAGGCAACAAGTGTGATCGAGCTTGATGATTTTTTTAGCCATGAGGGCGGATATAGCGAGATTAGCAAATCAGATGAACAAAATGACAATGCACCAAGCACAACAGATGTAGCATGTGTAACAGATGTCTACTTGCTACGAGTTATGTGGTGAATGTCATACAAGTTCCATATGCCTCGTGAATCCTGAATCCATCTACTATGTGGGGCAACAAGCTAGAGGGCCAATGAATCAAAACGCTCAATATGGTAACACATACAATCTGAACTGGAGGAATCATCCTAACTTCTCTTGGGGTGGAAATCAGAATATCAGGCCTCAAGCTAATTACAATCAGCCACCTAAACCCCCGCAACAATCAAAAGAGAGTTTGAATGACATGATAAAAAAGCTCTTGCTAGACAATCAGAAAGTTATGGCTGAGAATCAGCAATTGTGCACAGAGTTCAGAAATCTAGAGAGGCAGTTTGGGAAAATGGCTAACAATCAGAATATTAGACCTGTTAGAGCTCTCCCAAGTGATACAGAGAAAAATCCTCAAGTCAATGCAGTGACGTTGAGAAATGGTAGAGAGTTAGTAGAAGTGCCTAAAAAGAAAAATGAGCAGTCTGGGCTCGATAAAGAAAGAGTGCCAAAACCTGTAGAGGTAGATGAGAGAAACAAAATAGAGTCTGAGCAAATATCAAAGAGGGTTCCACCTCCTTTTCCTCAAAGACTGAGAAAGAAGAATGATAACCATATGCTTCACAAATTTTTAGATATACTAAAGCAGATACGCTTGAACATCCCTTTAGTGGACATGCTCCGTGAGGTCCCAAAATATACAAAATATATTAAGGATATAGTGGCAAATAAGAGGAGGTTAACTGAATTTGAGACTGTCGCACTTGCTGAGGAGTGCACTTCCAAGATTCAACATAAGCTTCCACAAAAGCTTAAGGATCCTGGTAGTTTTACCATCCCCGTGAGGATTAGTGAAATTGATGTGGGTAGAGCCTTGTGTGATTTGGGTGCAAGTGTCAATTTGATGTCGTTGTCAGTGTTCAAATAATTGGGCTTAGGAGCTCTGAGACCCACCACGGTGCTGCTACATTTAGCTAACAGATCTTATGTTTATCATGAGGGGGAAATTGAGGACGTCTTGCTGCAGATTGGGAAGTTTATTTTCCCTATAGATTTTATCATCCTGGACTACGAGGCTGATGAGTTAGTTCCTATCATCTTGGGACGACCTCTTTTGGCCACTAGAGATGCCATTATCAAAATCCGAGAAGGTAAGATAATCCTGAGGGTGGAAAATAAAGAAGCGGTCTTCAATGTATATCGAGCCACTCAATTGCCTCGTCATTACGAGGACATGGCCGTGATTTCTGTGGTGGAGATAAATGAACTAGTCGTAGAGCCAAGTGCATTTAAAGAAGATGCACTAGAAAAGGCATTGATGTTGTTCAATCACTTGGAACTGGAAGAAGAGGTTGAGGAGATGTTACAAATTCTGGATGCATCTTGTGAATATATAAGAGAAAGATCCTAGTTTGAGCCTCTGCCAATCGGCCTACCCCCTAGACCCTCAGTAGAGGAGGCTCCAAAACTGGAACTTAAACCCTTGCCATATCATCTTCATTATGCATATTTGGGTAGTTATATCACTTTACATGTAATTATTTCTTCTCATTTATCTAAATTGCAGGAAGAAAAGCTCTTAAGGGTGTTGAAAGAGCACAAGCATGCCATTGGTTGAACAATGTCTAACATAAAGGGTGTTAAGCCCTGCATTATGCATACACAAAATACTCATGGAGGAGGGACACAAGCCTAGCGTGGAACATCAATGCCGCCTAAATTCAATCATAAAAGAAGTGATAAGAAAAGAAGTGATTAAGTGGCTCGACATAGGTATAGTACTTCCCATCTCCAATATTAAGTGGGTAAGCCATGTTCAATGTGTACCTAAAAGAGGGGTATGACTGTTGTAGTGAATAAACAAAATAAATTAATACCAACTAGGACTATGACTGTTTGGAGAATATGCATAGATTATAGGAAGTTGAATAATGCTACACGAAAAGATCATTTCCCCTTCTCCTTCATTGATCAAATGCTTGGCAGGTTAGCCGGACAGGAATACTATTGTTTCCTTGACGGCTATTTGGGGTATAATCAAATTGCTATTTCCCCGGAAGATCAAGAAAAGACCACTTTTACATGCCCTTATGACATTTATTTAAGAGAATGTCATTCGGGTTGTGTAATGCACCTGCAAATTTTCAAAGGTATATGATGGCTATTTTCACTGATATGGTGGAACGGTGTGTGGATCTTTATGAATAATTTTTCTGTGTTTGGTTCTTCTTTTGATGAATGTTTGACCAATCTTGAAAAAGTGATTGCTATATCTGAGGAGACTAATCTGGTATTGAATTGGAAAAAGTGCCATTTTATGGTACGTGAAGGTATAGTGCTGGGACACAAGATGTCCAAAGATGGACTGGAAGTTGACAAAGCGAAGGTGGAAGCAATTGAAAAGTTTCCACCACATATTTCAGTGAAAGGGGTTAGGAGTTTTCTGGGACATGCAGGTTTTTATATCTGATTTATAAAGGATTTCTCAAAAATTTCCTCTCCTTTGTGCAGGTTGTTAGAGAATGATGTGCCGTTCAAGTTTGACTATGCTTGTATGAAATCATTCGAGGAGCTGAAAAAGAAGTTAGTGAGTGTAGCAATCATAGCGGCTCCTGACTGGAAAGAGACATTTGAGCTAATGTGGCCGTGTTGTGCCAGAGGAGGAGCAAAGATTTTCACTCCATTTACTACGTAAGAAAGACTCTTACCCCTGCTTAAATAAATTATATTGTGACAGAAAAGGAGTTTCTTTTTGTAGTGTGGGCGTTCGATAAATTTCGGGCCTATTTGGTTGGCACCAAAGTCATCGTCTACACAAACCATGCAGCCATCAAGTATTTGTTCGAAAAGAAAGATGTTAAACCAAGGCTACTCTGTTGCGTTTTACTCTTGCAGGAATTTGAGTTAGAGATCCAATACCGTAAAGGAACAGAGAATCAAGTGGCTAATCACTTGTCCAAATTAGAAACTCAGAATCATGTAGCTGAGGGAGATGTCATCAAGGAATTTTTCCCGTATGAGCAATTATTGGCCGTTACTGCTAGGGAGGTGCCATGGTATGCATATTTTGTAAACTATCTGGCAAGTGGAGAAATGCCGCCAGATCTTGAACCTTATGCAAAAAAAATAAGTTCTTGCAAAATGTGAGATCATATGTGTGGGATGAGCCGTTTCTGTTCAAATCTTGTACCAATCAGTTAATGAGAAAATGTGTGCCCAAATCTAAAATAAATGTTATCTTACATGACGGTCATGTGTCGCCTTATGGTGGTCATCATGCGGGTGACAAAAAGGCAGCTAAGGTGTTGTAATCAGGTTTTTATTTACCTAGGGTGTTTAAAGATACCCATGAGTTCGTGAGGAGGTGTGATAGGTGCCGTAGAACAAGAACAATCACAAAAAGGCATGAGATGCCATTGCATGGTATTATGGAGGTTGAAATTTTTGATGTGTGGGAAATTGATTTTATGGGTCTATTTCCCTCGTCCAGTAAGTGTAAGTACATTTTGGTGGTCGTTGACTATGTGTCGAAGTGGGTGGAGGCCATTGCTCTTCCTACCAATGATGCCAAGGTTGTGGTCAACTTTGTGAAAAAAATATATTTTTACAAGTTAAACACTCCTAGAGTGATGATTAGTGATGGGGGAACCCATTTCTATAACAAGTTATTGGAAAATGTCTTAGCAAAATACGGGATCAAACAAAAGGTTGCGACCGCTTACCATCTCAGACTAGTGGACAAGTTGAAGTGTCAAATAGAGAGATAAAGCCGATGATTCTGGAGAAGACAGTTAGTGGAAGTAGGAAAGATTGGGCTGCAAAGCTTGATGATACTCTATGGGCATACCGGACTGCCTACAAAACTCCAATCGGAACCGGAACCTCCCCTTACAAGTTGGTTTATGGGAAGGCATGCCATTTACTGGTGGAACTTGAGCACAAGGCCTATTGGGTGATAAAGAAACTGAACTTTGATCCATAATTAGTGGGTAGAAAACGGTTGATGCAATTGAACAAGCTTGATGAGTTTTGCTTGCACGCATATGAGAATGATAAGTTATATAAAGAAAAGATCAAGCGTTGGCATGATAAGAATATCCATCATCGCGAGTTCGAACCAAGGCAATTGGTTCTCTTGTTCAATTCGAGATTGAGACTCTTTCCGGGGAAGCTCAAATTGAGATGGTCGGGCTTGTATGAGGTAGTGAGAGTCACCCCACATGGTACAATTGAGTTGCACGTCTTAGGTGGCGAGAGAATGTTCTTAGTGAATGGACAAAGAGTAAAGCACTATTATGGGGGTGACTTTGATCGTCAGAAGTTGAAGGTGTTACTTGACAATGATTAGACAATATTATGTGTCGTGTCGCGGCGTAAAATCGGGCGCTTGTTGGGAGGCAACCCAACTTTACTACTTTCCTTTATTTTTATTTTTACTATATTATTTTTGTAGTGTCTGTTTTTTATTTTGTAGGATTATAAGCATATGAAGCAAAGCCATTGGAAGAGTGCAAAAGCGAGCTAGATTGTGAGAACTAAGTGTGGGGTGCCTACACAAAGGACCATATCTAGGGGAAGTCTGAGTACCCGTGAGCCGTTATTGCTTCGACCTTTGGCCTTTCAGGAAGTTTCTTGTCCACCCTCATTATTGTTTTACTTTATTTGTGCATTGGGGACACTACACTCTTTTAAGTGTGGAGTGAGAAAATTTCTTTAGACAATTAGTAGTATTATATTAGTATGTTAATTTCTTTTTTTTTTTAGCTTCATATTTTTCTTTTTTAATAGTTGTGTAGTATTTTAGTAGCTCCTAAAAAATAGGGTAGAAAAATTGGACTTTTCCCGACGATGGATCTTTTAGACAGTTTTCTTGAGGGATTTAAGTCTAAAGAAAAAGGACAAAACGATTTTCTTTGTAGGTAGTGTAGTAATTCCCCCTTGGTTTTTCTTTGTGTCGTGGTTCTTTTCCAAGGGTTTTGTTTGAACCGGGTGTAGTTAGTTTTATTTTATTAGGAGTAGGAGCCATTTTACTATGAATTGAATTGAAGCAATATCTCTTGACTTTGTTATGCCTTAAGAATAGTGAGTACTTTGGTTGTGACGCTTAGGCTCAGTTTTTGACTCTTGTATAAGTACCTTTCATTGTATGATCTTAACTGCTTTGACTAGAGTGTCTTGATGAGTCCAATCCTGAGTGAGTTATGTGACATATGTGTGTGAGGTTTGTGTGTTATTCTGTGCATTGTATTTGATGTCTAGAACTTGCCCCGTGTATTTGCAAAGCGAATGTGATGACTCAAAAGGTCATCTTATGCTTTAGAACTCAAATTTGCGCTCTTAAGCCTTAAAAATCTCATTTTTACCCTCCTCGATTTGCGTGCATAGTCCGGGCAGGTTTTCGGAAAGCTTTTATGTTGAAAACTAATGAAAATAAGAATTTTTACCTTAAAAGTTAATTTTAGTTGACTTTGGTCAACATTATTGGTAAATGGGCCCGGATCTGAGGGCTCGGGTGAGTTTCGGATAGGCCACGAGATGTTTTGGACTTGGGAAAAAATTTGGTTTCTGCAGATTCTGGTGTCTGGCATATCCTTCTTCGCGTTCGCGAAGGTCCTCTCGTGAACGCGAAGAGTAAACGGGTGAGGCTGAGACTTCTTCTTCGCGAACGTGAAGGCCTGGTCGCGAACGCGAAGTGATGGAGGATTTATCCTTCGCAAACGCGAAGCACTTGGGGACCTGGGGGAGGGTTGGTCATGTTCTTCTACGCGAACACGTCTACTAGGTCGCGAACGCGAAGGCTAGGGGGAGTTTCCTTACGCGAACGCGTAGGAAGACTCGCAAACACGAAGGCCTTAGGCCGCTGTGCATCGCGATCACGACAGGCCTCTCGCGAACGCGATGAAGGCCTGTCTAGTGGCTTAAAACAGACCCCAAACACGGGTTTGAGCCATTTCTTCAACATTTTCAAGAACCAAACGGGTAGAGGCGATTTCCAAGAGTCATTTTCTTCCCCAAAGTGTTGGTAAGTGATTCTAAACCATTTTCTTTCAATTACCCATTACATTTCTTGAATGTTTAACCAAAAATTTAGAGTTTTCATGGTAGAATTAGGGGTTAGGGTAGAAACTAGGGATTTCGGGAATTTAGGAATTTACACCTCGATTTGAGGTCGGATTCCACAAATAATTATATATTCGGGCTGGGGGTGAATGGGTGAATAGATTTTGGTCCGAACCTCGGGTTTTGACTAAGCGGGCCCGGGGTCGATTTTCGACTTTTGGGGGGAAAATTTAGGAAATCTAGATTTATGCAATGTAATTGATTCCTTTAGAAATATTTTGATACTATTGATTCATTTTGAATAGATACGAGTGGGTTGGAGGAGAATTCCAAAGGAAAAGTTGTGATTGA